CTAGTAACAAGTGCATCGCTACTAGTAACAAGTGCTTTACTAGTAGTAACAAGAAGCTACTAGTAACAAGTGCATCGCTACTAGCAACAAGTGCTTTACTAGTAGTAACAAGAAGCTACTAGGAACAGTTCACCATTGGATAGGCCGATGGGCCACACGTGCATCAGAGAAAGTGTCCCTCTTCGCCTTTGGCCATGGTGACATCGCCGGGAAAGTTGTTCAACTGGGCCCCAGGCTACCCTTTTGGAGCTTCTTGTTACTAGTAGCTTCTTGTTCCTACTAGCAAGGCACTTGTTACTAGTAGCTTCTTGTTACTACTAGCAAGGCACTTGTTACTAGTAGCTTCTTGTTACTACTAGTAAGGCACTTGTTACTAGTAGCTTCTTGTTACTACTAGTAAAGCACTTGTTACTAGTAGCTTCTTGTTACTACTAGTAAGGCACTTGTTTTAGAGATGGATTTGGAGATCCGGGAAATGGGTCAACACAGGTGGCTAGCGTGCGTTTCGCACACCAATACAGAGCGGCGCAGTTGCAGAAAACAAGCAATGGCTGGTTGGCCTGTTTGCACAGTCGCGGTGAAACATGAAATGTGTTCATCCCGACCTGGTTGCCTAACGTGCATGTAAATGGTCTCAACATGACATGAGAAGTTAGGGATATTCCGATATTCCCATGATTGTCTTGCTCGCTGTTACCTGGACTAACTGGACTAAGCTGCTCAACAAACCGTCAGATTCAGCCAGATTCAACTCCCGTCTATGAAATGCTTCCGGAGGGCACTTGCACGTCAAGGTCCATGACAATCTGCATGCTCGTTGAAGCAGTCTCCAAGGAGTCAGTCACTGAGTCCAAATAAGCTGCAAAAAGGAATAGCAATTTGAGATAATTGAAAGCAAATACCTTTTCAGCAAGTCTTCCAAAGCCTGTGAGCCTGAAGCCCTGCTGTTTGGTATCTTTGAAGTCTGACACCCAAACGACAGAGACCCAGAGAGCCTCTCCGGCACGTTGAAAGCTACCAAGAAGACGAGTCAAAGGAGCTTCATAGCTTTTTGAAGCCATCAGCCACACATGTGGAAGGTGAGAGAGAGAGTGAAAGCGAGAAGAGTTGAAGCTGTGTTTTGGTGCCGTTTGCACCATCGTCCGTTTCGTCACATAATAGTCCTCCCGTCTCCAGACCGAAGACGAGAAAACCTCTCGTTGGTGCCCGAAGGCCCAACACCCAGCGTCCGACGACTCGTCCGACGTATCGTGTGACGACTCACCAACGAGCTGCCAGGCCCCGGCGCGAAGCATCACCAAGTGGCCACTGCCATCTGCAGCCAAGTATTTCCCCATCGAGCGAAGCCAAACACAGGGTTTGCTCTTCACAAGGCCTTGATTTTCACCAGCTCTCACCAGATCCCATTCGCACGCGTCGCCATCACCCAGCGTCAAAGCAACACGGTCATGCTCCGATTGCACACAGAGGAGTTCTTTCCGGCCGGCAGGGCGGATGATGCGGATGCGCACCGTCACCGCGGCCACAGAATTCAAGAGACCAAGAGGGCCAGCACCAGCTGCACCAGCCGTTTCCCCTTCAGCCCCTTCCACAGTCGGCCCTGAGACAAAGCTCACTTCGAACAGTCCACACTCAAACGGAAGCTCGCTCTCGAACGCCTCTGGGGTGTTTTCATGGCGATTCGCCTTTCCTAAATACACCCATGAAATGCCATCTGCCATGCAAAGCTGCTTCCGCGCCATAGACGAGATCGTCACCAAGCCCTCTGGAAAAACCGGGAGTTCCACCACCCCTTCCGGCCTTGAATTTGTCCGAAAAGTCACAGCTCCGGGGAAAGGTCCCGATCGAAGAAAAGGGCATGTCAAAAAGAGCTTGCAGAAAAAACGTCTGTCGTTCGGACTTCCCTCTCGAATCAGCGCGTCATCCAGAAATGACACGTATAAACATCTTTCACCAAGCACCTGCAAGGATGAAGCAATACACGCTTCAGGAGCCCCTAGTAGCTTCTTGTTACTAGTAGGATTGAAAGATTTTGATTTATTTGGAAAGACAAATAAAGAGTTGATATGTTTTTTACTAGTAGCTTCTTGTTACTAGTAGTAAGGCACCTGTTACTAGTAGCGTGGCACTTGTTACTACAGGCCTCACAGCGCTGCAAGCATCGTGGCAAGTCGATGGACTCGTCGGAGCTTGCTTCGCCGCAGTGTCCAAGACCTTCGCCGTGTCCGCTCCGAAGGACTTTCGCAGAAACAAGCAGGAGCAAAGGGCATCGCTACTAGGAGCAAGGAAGCTACTAGGGGCTCCTGGCCTTACTACTAGGAGCGATCGGACGCTACTAGGAGATCTTATCACCTTATCACCTCATCAGATCTCTTCAGACTTCCCTTCTTTCTTCCCTTTCCCGCCTGCTAGCGCCCACCCATCACACGCGTCGATGCGAAACCAAAGAACACGAGTCGCCCAAAGAACTGGAAGAGCTGCTCGAGCCATATGATACTGCACAACTGTAGTGCCAATCACTGCCAATCAGCTAATGCCAAGGTTGAGTTCACCAGCACGAGCCTGATCTTAGTCGCAATTTGGCAAAGACTGTTCGCCCAATTTTCTTGCAGAGGGAACGGCGACACCAAGTTGCTTTGCACTGGTGAGTTCTGAACCCATCTCAGAAATGCTCCTTGATCGGGTGCAATGTTTCAATTTACAATCACAATATGCATACATATTGCAGTAGATTTAATGTTGGATCACGATCAGAAAAGAAAAAAAACACATCATAAATAGTGCTAGCACTTTCAAAGTTAATTCATACCCCATGGTTGTTATAAGTCATCCATTATGCTACTGTCTTGGGCGATCTGAATCTGTGCTATCTCAATAACAATCTGGGATGTTAATTCCTTCTGAACCCTGTCCACCTGCACCCCCCCTCCCTTCCCAGGCAAGCAAACACAACAAACTACAAAACCACCACAAAATGTCACAACCCTAGTCCTTGGCTGAGGAAACGCAGCACAAAGAGTTTGAGAAAGGAAAATGAATACAATCTATGAAAGGAAAACGTATACTTTCAACAACCAATTGCAAAAGGAATCCTCCCAGGAATCCAGTTTTATGTTGATAGGTGTCTTAAAGATAGCTACCCATTACTTTAGGGGGAGCCCTTTACTAATCATCCAACATGACAAATGTCCGGCTTTGTTCCAAGCCTTTTTCTGTCCTTTCTGTGGTCCTTGTTCGTCCTGTCATACTCGTCCCACCTTGAAAAAGGAGAAACGCGTTCTGCACCTGAGATGAGACGCCCCTAGTAGCTTCTTGCTCCTAGTAGTAAGGCACTTGTTTCTAATAGCTTCTTGTTACTACTAGTAAGGCACTTGTTCCTAGAAGCGATGCACTTGTTACTAGAGATGAGACGTGAGCGACTTCGACGTTCCACAAGGCTCCAACTGCTGATCTGGTGGGTCACTGTGCTTTGCACCTGGACAGCATCGCTACGAACGGGGCGAACGGAGCATCGAAACGAACGGGGCGATCGGACGCTACTAGTAGCGTCTTTGCTCCTAGTAGTAAGGCCAGGAGCGCCTTGTAGCTTCTTGTTCCTAGTAGCGATGCCCTTTGCTCCTAGTAGCGTCCTTGCTACTAGATTGGATGCTGCATTCTCCACACGCGTCCCTTCTATGAGCCAGACTTTGCCGCGCCAACTCTTGGCCAATCACTGGCGACCCGCAAAGGAAGACACCAATGTGGTCACCCATGTGCTGAGCCTGTCACACCACAGCACAAATGGTCATGGTATGTGCTCCAATTGGTTCGCTCCATCCTTTTCACTGTTCCTTTCACTGTCAAGACCACTTGTCCTCTTGGCTGGTTAGCCACAAAAAATGACAATCAGTCAGCCGTGGATCGTTTGACCCCGAATGCCAAAGTTCCGAGTTGCGCTAGCAATCGCCGCTTTGCCCTATGAATTTATCATTTCAAACGCCCTTTTCTGCTCAAATGCCTCCGGGGCACCAACACGGGTGAGGCATCCAAGAAAGCATTAACGCATCAACAAAAAAGTTATTCCTGGGGTATCAACAAACAATTGATTCATAAATTGATTTCTTTTCACACCAAACTTGTTTCGCAGCAGGTTAAGCTGGTTCAGGGATTTAAGGTCCAACCCAATTTTCATAAGCATCAAATCAAATGTTTTGCCAACTCGCCCACTTACTGCCACAGCTAGGCATTACAATCACACAGAACTTACACCTACATGTAAACAATATGCACAAATGGTCACAAATGCATGATAAGCATCCATGCCGAAAGCAGTCACTAGTAGTGACATACCCAAATGCCAGCGACTAACACCTTTTGCCTTTTGGTTTCAGGTTCAGTCCGGCATCCCGTTTCACAAGATAGCTTGTATGAATTAGTTTGTACATCCGTTGTTCCAGGTTAGTTCGTCGGAGTTCGTCGGGGGCCTGTTTGGAACCCTTTTCCCACGTGAAAAATCAAAGCTACAACGCACAGAACTTGCTTGTTCAGTGCTGTTTCCAGCTAATTTTGTTGCACAACAAACAAACTCTCCCGTAGCAAAAACTCAAAACCAATGATTTTTGAAATTTTATATAAGGCTGAGTTCGTCGGAGTTAAGAGTTAAGATGCACTGAACAAGTTTTAACAATATGTTGCTTTCAAAGCTTAGCTCGTAGTTATTGGGGCTGCATGAAGTTTCTGTATGGGTGTTTTCAGTGGCTATTGGACTGGATCAAATCGGATCCGGAAATAATCTGCAAGGTTCTTTGCTCCAAACTCCGAATTCTGGTGTTCTTTGGTTTCGTCGGCCCTCTGAGCCTTGTGTCTTGTGGAAAAAGGAGGCCTGTTTAAATCTAGCACTACTACAAAGGCACTTGTTACTACTAGCGATGCACTTGTTACTAGTAGCGTGGCACTTGTTTCTAATAGCTTCTTGTTACTAGTGGTAGCAGCCGCAGCAACAGTAGTAATAGTAGCGGTAGTGGCACTCGTCGTCATAGTCATCGTCCTCGTCCAAGTCGTCGTAGGAGGAGGAGTAGGAGTAGTAGCAGCAGCAAGAAGTCGAATCATGCGCTGTCTGTTGCGGCGGCTTCTGGCACAAAAAGATTGCCAGAGAGAGTCATGCAAGACTGGCTCCATAGTAGCAAAGGGAATCGCTACTACGAGCAAGGACGCTACTAGGGGCTCCTGGCCTTACTACTAGTAACAAAAAGCTACTAGTCTTATCCAGATCAACGATAAGCACAGCTGCCAAGCCAGCAAATCAAAACCCCTACATCGCGCGAGCGCCAGGATGAAAAAATTGGGCCGCAAAGGCCGGAGGAAAACCTCAGTCAAACAGCTGCGCGCGCCTGTCGCTCCTCTGGAACGCCCCAACAACAATCTGTGTTCCATTAGGGCAGCGCCCTGCAGCGCCACCACCCAGCACCCACAGCGCACGCTGCCATAGACATCTAGCAACGGCACCCTCCAGCAGCACCAGCACCCAGGCTCCAATGCGCACACCTCTGACTATACCTGAAGTAAGCTTGCTCTGGAGAACAAGAAAAGCATGTCCAATTCATTCCCACTTCTCACAGAACCCTCACAGAACTTCTCACAGAACTTCCCAGTGTGCCTTGCAGCCTTTGAAGATTCTATTCCAATTGGGGCGTCCAAAATACTGGTGATGAACGCCTAGGCGGCTAAGCCCTACCAGGTGATGCCGAAGAAAGTAAAGGCAGCATAAACGATGTCATGTCTTTTTCACGATGCATGATCGCTGGAAGCCTGCAGTGACAGGCGCATCGCTAGTAGTAACAGGTGCCTTACTAGTAGTAACAAGAAGCTATTAGAAACAAGTGCCTTAC